CGAAGGTGATCGTATTCCAGTTTCCTGCTTGTGGACACTTATAATCGATTGCTTGTATATGGCCACTATAACATAATGTGGGAGGGTGAAAAAATACCATCCCACTTAGGCACATCCCTGTGATGAATCAGTAGTTTGAATTCCAAGCACTGTAAACATTGATCCGTAGTTTTTAAATTAGTATTTTATTACCTATTAGTTAGCATAGTGTTTCAATTTATGAAGTCATATCAAATTCACTGACAATTACCCCACCCATCCCAACACTTAGCACTGCCCTCTTTGGTTTAATGTTGAATACTCTAAGGCAAAACATGCTCAGTGTGTAAATTACTGAACGCTGTTTAAAAGGGGTTTTGAATTCCCGGACATTAAAGGTGCTATTTAAATACTGGCCATTTTCCATATGCTGTAACAAGAGGTTTAGTTACAATAAGCAAAAGAAATCAGGTCACATTAAAGTCAACGTTTTATCAAGTTTACCTTTGCTTGAATTTCCATCTTCAGTATTGAGCCAATTATTGCCAGCAGGTCACTGATGATGACCAACACGTACCAGCCATTTAGAAACTCACTCTGGTCATCTTCACACACTTTCCGATGGAAGTGCTCTTGAAAGAATTGTGAGAATCTCTAGAAAAAACATAAAGGCAGAAATTCAGATTAAATTAGCATTTTAAAACAGTTTAATCAGCAAGCATAAGTAGATCTTAAGTACTTTAATTTGATAGATTAGGTTTGCCATTTATTTTTTAATAGGGTTTATTTTGATCAGGGAAGATTTTTCTACAAACAATCTAGAACTAAAATATAGAAAGTTGCAAATTAGTGGACTGCAACAAAATAACATGATCATTTTTCATAGACGACCTGGAGTAACCTGACAGCCAGTATGATGGAGCGGGTGCATAATGCGGCTGATGTTATGCAAACCAGAATGACGAAGGCATCAAACACCAGCAGATAATGCGTGTTCTTCTGAGCTGAAAAGGACAATAAAAAGTGGCTTAGTGTGTGCTTATCTCAGACACAACTCCCTCACACTCACTACTGATACGAGCCTAAGAAAACGCCTTCCAACAGAAAAAAACTTCAAGAAGCAAGTCTTGTTAGATATGCTTAAAGGAAAGTATTTAAGTATGAGATAGGATGAGCATTTAATTGTGATGAAACCAAAGAAAATTATTTTAGTTCAGATAAAACATTTGCTTCTGTAATCTGCAGTAAAACTAGCCTAGTTTTCCTCACCTGTTCCAGATATCTTCCAGTCTTTGCATGCACTGCTTTCAGCATCTATATCCAGAAATAACTTTACCTTCCCACTATGACACTGGTTATCAAATGTGATCTAACAGGGGAAAAAAAAAAAAGACTGAGCCAAAAGAATTTTAGG